TATATATATATATATATATATATATATATATGTGTATGTGTATGTGTATATATGTATGGTGAAAAACTTTCCTCCTGAATTGAAACATATCTCAGCCAAAACACAGGAGCAAATAAAACACTGAAATAAACCAAAAAATTGACATTTTGAAGTTACCTGAGAGACTTGTATATCATGTTTAACCTGAGTAGTGAAAGACCACGGGGTGGGGAACGATGTGCCGGGAGTCCGCTGTTCTCGCCGGCTCTAGTGATCCTCGACCTCGCTGTCTGCTATGGAGCTGGCGGGTCACAGACGTCTCCGAAACGTCGCACGTTCGGAAATATGATATCTTGATAAACCGAGCAGATATGTGAAGTTCACACAGCTACATTCTCGCCTGAAAATAACTTAAAAGTTTATTTCGTGACCCAGAAAGAGGAATATTTAAAAGTTTTTAGCCGCGCTCGTCCACCATTGCCGCGTTTCAGTTTTGGACGAAATGCATTCTGGGATATTTAGCTGTACCAAGTCCACACAAGTCACCACCGATGCACGCTCGATAAAACGGGCGGAGCGAGAACACATCCGGGACTTTTTCGCGTTGTCGGCTTGATGCGTACTTTAAATAGGAACAGTACTTGGTCTCCGACTGATGACGTATCACGAGTACGCACAAGTACGCATATTGAGACTTGGCTTGGTAAATCAGGGCGATTTCCTGTTTCAGAATAAGAGTTTGTGTTTCAGGTTTCCCAAATAAACAAAAGAAGAAGTTGTTGTTTCTCGCCGGGACACTTCCTGTTCAGTACGAAGGTGAGCCTCCGAGCTGTCGGCCATGTTGTCTGTTTACTGTTTGTAGTGACATCATGAAGGTCAAGCTGGCGCTTTGGTTTTTATACAGGAAGTGAGTATAATATCCCAGTATGCATCTGGCTCCACGAGACGCACCCATCATCGAGGCCTCGCTGTTATGTTTGCCCATCGGTCTCCATGGTGATAAACCCGACCTGTCCCTGCGTGGACGCTGCCGGGAACATCAGGCTGGACGCTCTCACAAACTGGGCTGAGGTAAGATGTACTGAGCATGCTCAGTGGGGCTGAGTCAGCTGGCTCAGTGGACAGGTCTGACCCAACAGAAAACTAACTATTAGTGAATATATACCTGAAAACACATGTTTAAGAAGGTGGAGCCTCCACACAGGCAGAGGGTGGAGCTAAAACACACTCTAAACATTATGTTTATGCCACTTATTGCTAGGGCGTGTCCAACCTGTCACTACTCGTGTCAGAGATGAGGCGGGCCTTCCAGAAGGATACCCCCCTTTATAGCAGGTGCCCTGTGCAAACTTCGCCCCCTGCAGGTGAACAGGTGTCAGCTGACAGGTCAGTTCCTCACTGTGTGTTCAGTCAGTGTTTCGGTTACGTAGATGGACTGACGAGAGTGGTTTCTCCTTCTGCAGCCTCCAAAGTCCCCTGCACAACTGCACCTCCTCCTCCCCGCAGGGTCGCCAACTTTCTGAAGTCACCTTCCAAAGTCCCGCCCACTCCAGCCAGCGTGAGCAGAGTGGGGAGGTGAGGGCAGCGAGGTCATACACCGATGAACTGCTGGGGATTGACTTCAGTGCTCTGCCTCTCACCTCCAACCGCCACACCAACCCCTTCCTAAACTCCTCCTCAGGTAAGTCTCAGAAAACACGAACAAGCTCCAGGTGAACATGAGAAAAGTTGAACCCACCTGGTTCTGGTTCCTGCAGGTACAGAACCCCTCAGCAGGATGATGGGTGAGCTGAGGCTAGATGGAGACTCGTCTGCACGATCTGTCCAATCAGAAGCAGAGCGACGCCGTCCAGTTACGGGACGGCCATCCGCCGCAGCACCCGAGCTACAGCATCCTCAGAGATCTCAGTTACAAGCGGACCAGGTGAGCCAGACTCTGGCGTCTCGGCAGCTTCTCCAGTCTGTGTCCCGGATGGCGGCGCGGCTCCCTCCGGACCAGGCGGCGGTTTTTCTGTCTCTGATGGCGATGGAGGGGCGGAGCTTCAGTCTGGCTGATGTCTTGGAGGCGGTCCAGATCAACAGAGACTTCGCATCAGCTCTCAGGTTCCTGAGCCACAGCTGCCCCATCTGTCAAGAGCAGGTGTCTTTCAGCAAGGTGAGCCACAGGTTTGAACCGGCCAATCAGAGCACGCGCAGCCGGCTGATGTTCTTCTTCTCTCTCTGTGTTTCCCCGCAGATCATCACAATGACGCACTGCTCCTGCTTCCTGTGTCAGACGTGCTTCAAGATGTTCTTCACAACGGCCATTAAGGAGCGCAATGTCGATCAGCTGGTCTGCCCTCAGTGTGGCCGACCGGAGGTCAGAGGTCAGGGCGGGCTGGAAGAGTCCATGGACTACTTCAACCTGCTGGATACACAGGTGAGGTGCGTTCCGGCCTAGTTTGCGTGGCGATGACCAGTTCTGACACGTGTCTGTTTGTCGGTGTAGATCCGCCACTTTCTGCCTGCCGACGTCCACGAGCTGTTCCAGAGGAAACTCAGAGACCGAGCTCTGCAGGAGATGCCCAACTTCTGCTGGTGTGCTCACGTAAGAACCCGAACGATCTGAGCCTCGCAGTCCAGAAGCTCACAGAAGCAAGAAATGAATACCGCTGCTAGTATCGATACAAACTGTGATCATCTGCTGCGTGACGTTCTGTCCTCAGACCCGTTGTGGGATACTTTTTGTCTCTGCAGCGTGGCTGTCAGAGCCTGTCCTGAGCCATGACTTCATGACAAATAAAATCTTAACCATTAGAACAGCGGTCTCCAACCTTTTTTGTGCCACGGACCGGTTTATGCCCGACAATATTTTCACGGACCGGCCTTTAAGGTGTCGCGGATAAATACTACAAAATAAAACCAGTACCGGTACCGAAAAAAAGAAGATTTATTCATAACACACGTGAAAAGACCCAGGAAAACTGAGTTAACGATAAAAACGATAACAAAATAACGCTGAAAACCGATAAAAACCCTGAAAACCACACATTTCACACCTGAGCCTCAACTCTCGCGGCCCGGTACCAAACGACTCGACAGGCCTACTTGTTGTTCCTAGAGTATTTAAAAGTAGAATGGGAGGCAGAGCCTTCAGTTTTCAGGCCCCTCTTCTGTGGAACCAGCTTCCAGTTTGGATTCAGGAGACAGACACTATCTCTACTTTCAAGATTAGGCTTCAAACTTTCCTTTTTGCTAAAGCATACACCCAGTGCATCATGGGAAACCCCCAGCAGCCTAGACCTATAGCAGCATAAATAAGGGAGGCTTCAGGGTCACCTGATCCAACCCTGGGTGTTTCTTCTTCACTCACATGTGTTTATACACCCTTCTGTATTTAATCATTAGTGATTATTCATCTCTGGCTCTTCCTCCCCCGACCCCCAACCAAGCCCCTGAGCTCTGCCGGAGGTTTCTTCCTGTTATAAGGGAGTTTTGCCTTCCCGCTGTCGCTGAGTGCTTGTTCATTTGTTGGGTTTCTTTGTATTACTGTGGGCCGTTGACCTTACAGAATAAACCTTGTTGAGACGACTGTTGTTTGGTGTTTCAGTGTTCATTCGGGATGCTGCACGAGGCCCAGCGCCTCAGGATGGACTGTCCAAGCTGTAAGAAGAGCACCTGTTCTCAGTGCAGATCACCTGTAAGACACTCTCTCACGCACACACACAGGTGAACCAGCCTCAGATCGGGTCCTGACCACAGTCCCTGTGTTCTGCAGTGGTCCCCCGAGCATCAGGGTCTGTCCTGTGAGCAGTTCCAAGTGTGGCAGCAGCAGAACCAGCCGGACCCTCACAGCACCTCCCAGCTGTACAGCAGCATCGGTATGAACCCAGAACCAGGTCCAGGAGACTCTGAGGGCCTCCTGCAGGACCTGAACCTAATGTTTCACCCCATCACTCAGGTGGTTATAAGCAAGCAGGTAGAAGTGGAAGCAGTCAGCATGTGACTGAAGGCTTTTTTACTCTTGCTGTTTACAAACTAACACACGAGGCCTTCAATCACCGAAAGCGTGACGCTGAGAGGACTTGACCCAGTCCAGTCAACGATCGGCGTGGGTGTTCTCGCCAAAAAAACCAGAAAGCAATGCCTGGGGGCTCTGAGCTGACATGCCGGGACCTGGTCTGTCCTGGTCTCCAGCTGTTCCATTAACGTTTAGCATCCACGAACAGAGGACATGGTGGCTGCTCAGGCGGTAGAGCAGGTCATCCAGTGACTGAATGGTGGTGGTTTGATTCCTGGCTTTCCCGTAGTCTGCATGCCAAATATCCTTGGACACCATGTTGCTCTGCGACGCATCCATCGGAGAGTGAATGTGATGCATGTTAGACGCTAACGCTAACAGCTCAGAAAAAGTGCTTGTGTGAATGAAGTATAAGAACATCCGTTTACAAACTGTCCAAATGTTGATTGTGTCCTTCTGGACGTTTCCACCATCAGGTGACTTCTTCAGTGTCAGCTGACTGCAGGTTTCAAGGTTCAAGGTTCTTTATTTGTCACATGCATAGTTATACAAGTATAACACAGAGTGAAATGTAGCCTGACACGCTCCTCGGGGGGGTGTAGAGGAAGAACACACACACACACACACACACACACACACACACACACACACACACACACACACACACACACACTGGGTGAATGTGCAGTAGTAGCAGCAAGCAGGTGAATTCTGTACATTAATATGAATAGATATCTGACTATTTTACAGGATAGACAATATAAACATATTTAAAATTAAAGGAATTGAAATGTACATTGTGCCTTGGTTTAGTGTCAGTCAATTATAGATGATGTGAGAGGGCGGGTGTGTGTGTTTAGGGCACGGATGGCTTGGGGATAGAAGCTCCTCTTGAGTCTCTCTGTCCTTGCCCGGAAGATGCTGAACCTTCTACCAGATTGCAGAAGTTGGAACAGTTTGTTGCCAGGATGGGACGGGTCCTTCAGTATCTGCTCTAGTCCGGCATCTCCTGGTGTAGGTGTCCTGAAGCGGGGGGAGAGCAATCCTGCAGCAGCGTTCTGCTGTACGGATCACTCTCTGGAGAGCTTTTTGGTCCTTCACACAGCTGTTCCCGAACCACGATGTCATGTTCTGTGTGAGGATGCTCTCCACAGCGCCTGTATAGAAAATCCTGAGGATCTTTGGAGAGACCCTGAACTTCCTCAGTTGTCGTAGGTGATACAGGCGCTGCCTAGCCTTTTTGGTCTGGACCTGAATGTGGGCAGCCCATGTCAGGTCTGAGGAGATGTGGACACCAAGATACTTGAAGGACTGCACCCTCTCCACTGGAGCTCCATTGATGATAATGGGCTTGTAGTCTCTGTGCTGACCCCTTCTGAAGTCCACCACCAGCTCCTTGGTCTTGCTGACGTTCAGCTGGAGGTGGTTGTCCTGGCACCACGATGCCAGATTCTTCACTTCATCCATGTAGGCCGCCTCATCGTTGTTGGAGATGGCACCCAACACCACTGTGTCGTCAGCAAACTTCACAATGGTGTTGGAGCCATGGGTGGCCACACAGTCTGAAGTGTAGACTTCAGACTTATATTAAATATATTATATTTACATAATGGCTGAAACCAGCCCACTGAATGACCAGTGGGCTGTGAGGTCAGTTTATGATCATTAATATGCAGATTGCCACGCCCACTGATCAAAGAGTCCCATTCAACGAGAGTTGGCTGCATTCACAGCATTGTAGGTAGGATGGTGGCCCCCCTCCTCAACTCCGAGATGGCCTTACGTCTTTTCACTCGACTCCTCGCTCAAACCAGCGATTTCCCCACCTGGACGAATGAGGTTTAGTCGCACTAAGGCTCAGCCTGGTCCGTCCTGGTCTAACGTTTCCCTCTGTGTCCTCAGAGTGTCCAAACTGCCAGCTGGTCTTCAGCCTGTCCAAAGGGGGGTGTCTCCACTTCACCTGCAGTCAGTGCGGTCATCAGTTCTGCGGCGGCTGCAGTCAGCACTTCGTTCTGGGCTCGGTGAGTTCCAGCTGTGCTGTGTGTAACTGGAGCTCCAGGTGTTTGGTCAGAGAGAGATGGATTGTGGGTAACGAGTGTAAGACGACTGAAAGTTGTTCCTTGGTTTCATATTTACATCGTTATCAAATGAGCCAATCAAACGAGACAGGTGTGTTAGAGACTTGACACCTGTGTTGTTTAACCTCTGCAGGCCTGTGGCTTCTCTGCAGACTGTACGAGCAAAGGTCTTCATGCTCACCACCCCAGAGACTGCCTGTACTACCTGAGGGACTGGAGCCTGACCCGCCTCCACCTGCTGCTGCAGGTGAGAGCCAGCAGATCAACTGAGGTGTTCCCAGCTGTTCTGTGATCAGTACTTTACAGGTGTGCTGTCTCCTGTCTCAGCATTACAGAGTGTCTCCCTCCTGGTTGGAACCGCCCAAGGTCAGCTCACCTGACACCGCTCTGCCAGGTGAGACCTCTACCTGTCTACCTGGCATCTCCTTTGTCCTAGAGTCACTGACAGGTGTGTTCCCGTTCCAGCATCCTGTCCAGTGCTGGAGCTGAGAGACGATGGCAGCCAGAGGGAGGAGCCCTGTGGTCGACCTGCGTTACCTGAACACCGAGGATACTGCCAGTAAGACCACAGCTCCCAGTAAAGATGTTCTGCCAGATGTGCGTGGTCTTAGAGGCTCTGCCCCTTTCTCCTGACAGGTCACACTATAAGGAGCGTTTGGTGGAGCTGATTAACCGTTACCGTGCTGACCCAGCGGTCCTCTTCAGTCTGGCAGAAATAAAGGCGGAGCTTCAGCGTTGGCATGTTACCGTTCCGACCAGAAAACCCGAGGAGCCAGAGCCACTCTACACTCATCGCCTCCGCATGGTCAGTGACATCACCAGATGGTGTTGTTCGTCATCAACAATGACGTCTGAGATTTATTTTGAAAGTCTGATGTGCTGTTTCAACCATGTTTCTTTTCAGCCAATCACAGTGCAGAATTCTGTCTCTCTGCAGACGCTGACCAATTGCACTCCTCTCAGGAAACAGCGCTGCTCTCCGGTTAAACGCATTAACAACCTCTGTCCTCTGCCCGTCACCGTGCCTGCTGGAGCCCCGCCCCCTCATGTGCTGCTAAGCGATTGACTCCACCCACTCCTAAAGTATGACCTCCCACTACACCCATCAGTTGTTATGACAGGGCGGCCCTGTGTTTTGATTGGCTCAGCACAAATATACTAATTAGGGACCAAATATGAGCAGCCAATCAGAGTTCAGCTAACAAGCTAACGATGGAAGCTGCCAGTTTTAGCATCTGTTAGCATGTCTTGAGCAGACTTCAGGAGGCGGAGTTTGAGCATCCTGTTTTTGTTCGCTGCACTTTACCTGTTTAACCAAGTTTAATGAATAAATGCTGTCCTAACACACCTCGGCGTCCTGTCTTCCGTTTCCATGGGAAGTTGAGTTTTAACATTAAAAAAAAAAAAAAATTTTGTTTGAACATTTTTATAGATATTTTTATAGAGAACAGAACATGCTGGAGTTTTCTGCCCCAACTCAGCAGGAGCAGATAAACGGGGAGCCAAGGTCGTAGCTTAGGCGCCGTGTGAGAGAAAAGCATGTGAATGTTTAGGCTTTTATGATAAGGTGGGGGCACCAGTCAATGCTCCACCATTTTGAGATCTGAGGCTGTCTGCATACAGTGTCCATCTCCCACGCGTGTGTTCATTAAAATCATCGTTTGACTCAACCCGGCCGGACCAGTGTTGTTATTGTGGTTTTTTTCTCTTGTCTCCATCCCCAGTATTTTGAACCTTAACAATGGTGACCTGCCGTCAGTCACACAAACACGCGGGTGCTTTCATAGAAAACTTTTATTTAAACTTTCCAAACAGGAAGGTGTGCTCCTTCTCACACCTGTCAGTGTGTGTTTAGCTCTTCTTCGGTGGTGTGGCGTCGTCTCTGGGCAGACTGAAGGGGACGATCGCTTTGACGAGTCGCTCTGTAATTGTTTTGCTATTAGCGGCGATGATCCTCCTGGACATCAGGTCCACGTCGCCACCTGAACACGGAGACACCGTTAGCTGGAAACACCTGAGCAGGGAAATGTGCTGTTGATGGGTTAGCTTACCATCAACGTCCATCAGCACGCCGCCAGCCTCGGACACGATCAACGACGCGGCAGCCACGTCCCAAACGTGGATCCCCATCTCGTAGTACGCCTCCACACAGCCCGACGCCACCAGACACATGTTGATGGCGGCGGAACCCGCCCCGCGCACCCTGAGACGGATGGACACGTCAGCTATGGGAAAACAAGCGTGCAGTGATGTCAGCGTGGCGGCAGCCTTACCCGTGAACGGGGAGGCAGAGGATGTTTCGGAGGCTTTGGAAGATTTTATCAACAACGTCGGCGTCTCTGTCCGATCCAAACTCCGTGGCCACCATCGCCTGTTCCACGGCTGATGACACACAGATAAACAAACAGGTGACCGACCGCCCGCATAAGTGATGTCACTGATTTATTGGTTATCGATTCGCTGAGCGCTGACCTTCCTGCCGGGACACCTGCAGCGGCTCGCCGTTACAGAATGCTCCCTTTCCCCGCCTCGCCGTGAACATCTTGTCCTCCACACAGCTGAAGACAACGCCAAACTCCACCTGAGGGAGGGGAAGAAGAGTAGAGGCCGCTGTGAGGTCAACAGGTGAGGTCGTTCATGCTCATCCTCAGGTGGCTTGAACACCTGAAGCTGTGTGATGTCAAACGAGGCGCACACCTTTGACGCTGCGTTTTCTCCGTGTTCCTCGTGCACATGTAAACGCAAAATCTGAGTTTTTGAAAATGTCCACCCTGGCAGGAGTTTTTAAAAAACTCAGTTTTCAGTGACCGAAAACGCCGTTTACGTGTGGACGAAAGGTGCAAACGCATAGAAAAATCTGCGTTTTCAAAAATACCCGTGTACGTGTGGACGTAGCCTGAGACTCACTGTGGCTCAGGCGAGAGCGTAAAGTGGATCAAAGACGAGGCAGGAGGTTCCCGTTGAAACCTTTACTGGGACAAAGTCATCAAAGCATCAACAAACTGCAGAAAAGCTGCTCCATCCACTGCCGTCTGTTTTACAGAGAAACGTCTGATTCACCTTTAAACAGAGGCTGGCGGCAGCGTCTGTGTTACATGGAAGCAGCACACAGGTGCGTCAGAGGCGGGGTTAGCGGCCCCGTTTTCACTTTTCAGTATTTATTGCTGCTCATTAATAAGACAGAAGGATTTCTTATCTGATTAATCGACTACTAAAGTCAGGGCTGCAGCCCTGTGATGTCGCTGCTGATGTCAAAGGTCAGGAGGTTGGTGCTGATGTGGACTCAGACCTGTTTGTTGATGGCGAATCCGATGGAAATGGCAACAAAAGGAAACCTGTGAAAGTGAAACAGACACAGGAAGTTAACGTGTTGGCACCGTCATACGTGTTCCTGCAGAGCAGGGCTGTTTACCTGTTAGGTCACCACGGTAACCAGTGCCCATCAGCGTTTTAAATGAGCTGATTCAGTGTGCCGAACACCAAGCCAAACAGGAAGTCATCTGCTTCAAAGTAAAGGTTCATCCTAACATTCACGCTGGTCACATCATCGATCTACCCGCTGAGGGACGGCTCGAGCTGAACATTGATCATCTTTCATCGATCTCTCAGTGACTCGCTGATCGATTCCCTCTGAGTCAGTTGGACCAAATAAACCTCAGATCTGGAGGTAATCGATCAGAAGAGCCGTAGACCCCGCCTCACTCTCTGAGTAGAGCAGGGCGATATGGCCAAAAATATTTATCACCATATACATTTTAAAATTTGCGATAAGGATATAACTGACGATATAATTGACACGAGACAAAATACTTTACAACTCCACAACTTTATTAGTGCAAAAAACCATCAATGTATTTTCACTTCAACAAGCAGCTGTTTTATCTGCATTAACGTTATATAAAAATGTAACAGTGCAAACTCCTCGCTGACAGTTTAACCAAAAAGCATTTCCAGTGGAAACTGGCCGACGCATCCTCAGCATAACCATGTATAACATCCACAACACTTAAAAAGAGGTCATACACACACAATACGGTAACAGTATGTTGAAGCACAGCACGTATCACTCCGCGAGGCTCCGCCTACGATAGCAGTTGTTGTGCCAAACTCGGTATCCCCGACAGAATTTGTTTCCCCTGTGCTGGGAGCAGGAAGTACTGATGTTTTCATTTTGTGAAAAATTAGTATCGTTACATTACCATTCAGTTTGAGGGTTACAACAGAAAATGATATATTTATTGCTCACGGGGAATCAGATGGGATTATTTTAATAAACCATTAACATTTTGGCTGATAACTATTTTTATTCTCCTGTAACTTTACTATATAAAGAGCTAAATCCTCCAAAGTTTCACGAGTAATGCGTCATAATAAGAAGTGTTTGTGAACGAAAAATCAGCAATGTGGGATACTGTTTGTCCGTGAGTTACACAGGGGGAACAAATTGTGGCAGGATCAGCCTGATATTATTTGTATCCCACTATAACTTCGTTGTATAAAGAGCTAACATCTCAAAAATGTCAGGAGTATCAACAAAATCAACAATGTGGGATACTGTTTGTCCGTGATTTGGACAGTCCAGCGTGTGCTCCCGACGCAGGGGAAACAAATTCTGTCGGGGATACCGAGTTTGGCACGACACCGGCATGTGCGTATGAAAAGAAAGGCACTGCGCATGCGCGTTTTACCCATATTATATCGCCATATTTCATTTTCCTATCGTTGCCCGACATTACACCGGTGCTACCGTGAACAGTATGGCCCAGCACTATCTCTGAGCGCCCACAGGAAACAAAGAAGCTGCAATGATGATGTCAGAGAGTGCAAACTCACGCGTGAACGAAGTTGGTCGTGCCATCGATGGGGTCGATGATCCAGGTGGGCGAGTCAGAGAGGACGCAGGGCTCACCTGCAGCCACTGACTCCTCCCCTATGAACCTGAATCGCACAGAACAGGTGAAGCCGTTACACGCTGAACGAGGAAGAGCCACGAGACGGCAGCCAGAGATGTTCCAACAGGTCATCTCTGCTACTCCTCAGCAACACACAGCTGGATCCCTGAACATCTGGATCTGATCATAACGCTTATCTTTGTAAACTGATGATCAATAATCCGACTGGACATGCACAGAGGGGGTGGAGCTTCATACCTGTGGGTGGGGAACTTTTCCTTCACTGACTGGATGATGAGCTGCTCCACCTTCTGGTCGGTCTGCGTCACTAAATCCACCACCGAACTCTTCGTCATCACTGCCCTGTCGCCACGCAGAGCGTCACACACCACCTGATCAATGCACCAATAACTGATCAATATTTACTCCTGATCAATGCACTGATAGCTTATCAATCAGAAGCTGATCAGCCAATAGTTTCAGTTACTAAGTCTGTCATCTGGGGTTAACCTGAGATTTCAAGATAAAAGCCTTTGTTTCCTCTTTGCGCTCAGAACGTTTCAGAGAAGAAGAAGAAAGTGACTCCACCCCCTCTGTTTTGGAGCGTGCTCAGTAAGTGAAGAAATGGCAGGAAGCGGATTCTGCAGTCGTGACGGCCGTGCGGCTCACTGTCAAGCAGTCGTCAGCTGACCCTGAAGGTCACATGGGCGAGTGACGTTCAGGTGAAAAGAATGAACTTCCTGAGACTCCTCTGTTTCATAATGAAATCACCTGTAGGCCCTGACAGGTGAGTCTCAGGTGGGAAAGAAAAAGGAAGATGACGACTGACCTCTCCAGCTTTTCGTGCCACGGCGACAGCGTGGTCCATGGCGTTCTGCCAGGGGTCAGCCATGTTGGAGGAGGAACTTCCTGTGGAAAGAGGAAAGACTGCGTGAGGTGTGTTCCAATATTCCACTTTGATCAGGAAGGTTCCTCACTGACATACGCTTCAGTTGTCCATACACTAGGGGAAGCAGCTTCAATGCTTCCTTTATGACCTCCTTTAGCAGAGGAGACACTGGACCGTCTTTATGAAAAGGGAGGAGAAAATGGCGTCCCATAATTCGTTGTCCATCCGACCATTCATGAAAACATAATCGCAGTAACCAAAGCGGAGCAGATCATGTAAATGTCCATTCTAAGTGTTTTTTCTTTTCATTCAGAACCTGTATATATATTTATTTACAGCTTTAATCAGCAGCAGTGAAACTCACAGCTGAACCCTGAGCGTCACATGAAGAGCAGAACGCTGTATGAGCGCAACATTATGATCTATACGAACTGATCAAAGTGTGCTTGTATGATCAGTGATCGTTAGTAATGTCCAGTGTTGGGAAGGTTACTTTTAAAATGTATTCCACTACAGATTACAGATTACATTCTCAGCACTGCTGAGAAACAGAAGCTGAGTTCACTTCATTTCTGCTGTTTCATGGAAACAGTTACTGAGGACCAATAAGTGGGCTCGCCTCTGAACGCTCAGCGTGACACTGATGAAGAGTTTTAGGACACAGCCAAAGTTTTAGTAATATCATCATTTTAGTAGGATTGCAGTAAATGTTCCTCCTCCTTTAAAACACCAAAAAGATATGCTTTACAGACTGTTATCGTTTCTATGACCTCCATAAAACAAGAACACACCCTGTGGTGAAGCTAGACCAGCCTTTTGTAGTTTGTCTTCTGCACATTGTAGTTTCAACACGCCAGACTTCCTGTTAAAGAGACACCAGTGTAAGGTTGTTCCAGTTCTAAGTGCACGCCTCTTCCCTTTTCCTGAGTCGTCAACAGTTCTCCTTCTCACCTTTGACCTCAGTGACGTTTTCATCGAGGTCAAGGAAGAGCGTCAGGAATAGGAGACTTCTGGAATGCACCAGGAATGCCCAGAGTCCTCATCATAAGAACCACATCAGTAATCAATAGCATCAATCTGGGAGGTGATGGATCGATAATCCAGTAACACCAATCCTGACCTATCACAGCGGGTCCTGAATTGACCACAGGTGACCGCTAAGTGGCTGTCTCAGCGCGTCCTCTCATCGAGTTTACGGCCACTAACCGAGTATATACTGATTATCAATGAGCGTTACCTGGTGGCACGTGACGAAGTGTCAAGCGCGCCGACACCTTTCCGTGCGCGTGCCCACCGGCACTGCCGCGCCGTATGAAATCAGCTGATTTCTGAACGGAAGTACTACGCCGCTGATTCCCGCCACAAATTCCAAAACCGGAAGTAAGGCGGCGGATCAACGAGACGTTTCGAAAACAAGTAAAGAGGAACAGCGCGAACCCTGAAAACGCACCTGAGGCTCTCGAGGTCGGTCTGAAGGTAATCCGTAACGGGTTAGCAGCGTCACTTTCGGGTTTCTTCTTCTACGTTCTACGACTGAGCGCTGCCGCCTCCTACTGGACATTGACTGTCACAACAACAACAACACTAGAAAAGGTTGCATTTCCTGCGAAAATGCAGTGTGAACGCCGTGTAGTGGAATCTGAAAACAGCAGGACAGCTATCTGTTGAAAACAGGTGTAGAAGCTGAACTCTGCTTTATTTGAAAGACTACACTGAAGAGTGTCAAGAAAGCAGATTACATGCAAGCAGGGGAGATGTCCAGCATCTGTCCCATGTAGTGCTCGAACCCTTGCCACCAGATCTCACAGCAGCTGCGCATCCCACTGCGCCAAACCAGTTCTGGTCCCAAACAAAGATGTGATGAGAGGAAAAAAACGTGCACTGTGCAGAAGAAGCTAAATTGTGCAGAAAAGAGGTGAAAATGCTGAATGTTCAGCAAAAAAGAGATAAGGAACCTGAAAATTGTGCTAAAAAGAGGTGAATCAGCAGACTTTCTGCTGAAAAGAGGAAAAGAAGCTGAAGTTTGTGCTAAAAACAGCTTAAGAAGCTGGAATTTGTGCTGAAAAGTAGTGAAAAACTGAAAATTTTGCTAAAAAGAGGTGAAAAAGCTGAAATTTGTGTGGAAAAGTTTAAACAGTTGAAGTGTTAACTGAAGAAAATGTTGCCATAAGCGGGATTCGAACCCGCGCCTCCTACTTTGAGAACGGCTGCTCATCTCACTGAGCTAAAACACGGCTCAGCCCGGCGAGCAAAACTAGTGATCACACTGATAATGTGGTACCTGTCAGCAAAATGGGCCAAAAAATGGCATAGAAAGCTGAATATCTCAAAAAGTATAAAAGTTATCATCACCAAAAGATATAGCAGTGGAAAGCAGAAATAGCAGAACAGTTTAAAGTTTGAATGGTGAAAATTGACTGAAAACTGAGGGAGTAGTTAAACGGCAAAGAAACGGAGCAACTAGAATAATAAAGGATAAAGAATAAAGAGAAACAGGAACTCAACAGTGTGCCTTTGAGGCATCCACACAAATACACCACTAAAGCCTACTACTACCTACTGGCGTGGCACGGTTTTCAGGGTTTTGCATTAGGTCATAGTACCTGGTACTTTTACGGTACCTGCACAGCCGTAGCTCCGTACTTTATTTCAAACACAGAACATTACAGATCAAAGATCTTGTACATATCCAGATAAGCAGTTAGAATCACAATCAGCATACTTTGTTAATCCCTCAGGAAATGATGTGGTTTACAGTTGCTCCAGTACAGTAACAGAAACAGACTATTTAACAATACAATATGTTACAGATTTAAGAAAAAGCACAATATATACAAATCACTCAATAATAAATAACAAATCAAATCACTTTTATTGTCACATCACATGTGCAGGTACACTGGTACAGCACATGCAAGTGAAATTCTTGTGTGCGAGCTTCACAAGCAACAGAGGTGTGCAAAATACAATAACGTAAGAACAAGCAAATATAAGAATGGCTAAATCTAAGAGTAATAAATATATGTACAATATAAGAGTGTATGCATTACTAAATGTTAATATTAAATGTGTGTGTGTGTGTGTACACATATTTTACAAATTAAATAGAGTAAACAATAAATAAAATATATAAAATAAAATATACAGAGTTGAGACATGTGCAAAACAGTGGCATTACTGTACAGTGTGGAGTGCATTGTGTTGAAGTTCCAGTAGTGAAGCTGAGGTGTCTATGACGTGTTCAGCAGTCTGATGGCCTGGTGGAAAGAAGCTGTCTCTCAGTCTGCTGGTACGGGACCGGATGCTGCAGAACCTCCTTCCTGATGGAAGCAGTCTGAACAGTTTATGGCTGGGGTGACTGGAGTCCTTGATGATCCTCCCCGCTTTCCTCAGGCACCGCTTCCTGTAGATGTCTTGGAGGGAGGGAAGCTCACCTCCAATTATCCGTTCAGAGCACCGCACTACTCGCTGGAGAGCTTTGCAGTTGTAGGCGGTGCTGTTGCCATACCAGGTGGTGATGCATCCAGTGAGGATGCTCTCAATGGCACAGTGATAGAAGGTCCTGAGGATGCGGGGGCTCATGCCGAATCTTTTCAGTCTCCTGAGAAAGAAGAGGCGCTGCTGCGCCTTCTTCACTGTTTTGTTTGTGTGTACTGACCACGTAAGATCCTCAGCCAGATGTACTCCAAGGAACCGGAAGCTGCTCACTCTCTCCACAGCAGCGCCGTTGATGGTGATGGGGGTGTGTACTTCTCTGCACCTCCGGAAGTCCACTATCAACTCCTTTGTCTTTGCGACGTTGAGGGTGAGATGGTTGTCTTGACACCAGTGGGTCAGGGCGCTGACCTCCTCCCTGTAAGCCGTCTCATCACCGTTGGTGATAAGACCCACCACTGTAGTGTCGTCCGCAAACTTCACAATGATGTTGGAGTTGTTAGTGGCTGTGCAGTCGTAGGTGTAGAGTGAGTACAGGAGAGGGCTCAGTACATCAAGGATTGACAGAGGTGATTATAAATAAGCATCAAGAACACTGACAGGAATATTACAGTAAAATAGAAAAGAGCGTGTGGAAAAGGCTGTAACTATTGCAGTGTTCACAGTGTGTTAGATGGAGGAGTTGCACAGGGACATGGCCATGGGCAGGAACGACTTCCTGTGACATTCCATGGTGCATTATGGGTATCTCTGTGAGCGTGCTCCTGTGGCTGACCAGCATGTCATGGAGTGTGTGGGAGGTATTCGCCAGCATCACCTTTATCTTGGACAGCATCCACCTCTCCGACACCACCCTGAGAGAGTCCAGCTCCAGGCAGGTGACATTAAAGATGATATGACACTGATATGAGAAATAAAGGTAAGGGAATGATGTAAAGTAACGCTCTTCGTGGTCACACTCATGAATGTTGTATTTGCTTAGTGGAGGAAAAAAGACAAACATAAACAAGTAAAATAAAATAATTCTATGCAAAGAGCAGTTTACAGCAGGGTTGTTTCGCACTAGGGGGCGATAACAGACTAGAGAAAGAGGCTTCTACAGCTTTAATTGCCTTCAGGTTTTGTGATGGTTGAACACACTGAATGTGCTGTTTGAATTCATCTTTAGAGAACATAATGCAGGGTTAGTGCCTCTGAATGTACACTTATGTATATAAAACTTGGCCATAATCAGGTCAGTTATATTTACTGTGTCAGGCTTCTTTTGTAGATCTGTAGTTTTCTGTAAGATGTCCTTCCAAAATAAAGACTTCAGCACTTTGTTCACACTTGTTAATATTCAGATCTAAGCCAGAAGCTCCAGAGAACGCTTTCACTGACTCCAGAGCTGCAACATTTGGTTTTTGTTCTTCAGAATAAGGGTTAGGGTAGTACCACCAGCCAGCTGAGTGATGATCAGACTTCTGTCCAGCAGAGAAATACATTGAATTTTACTGGATCTAATATGGTCCACTAAGAGTTGGGCAACTAGTAAAAAGAGGTACGGAGAAACAGGCCATCCTTGCCTGATGCCTGTCGACAGATCAGATCTAGGACAGGTTCCACCAGCTAGTGTCACTGAGCTGTTAGCGTTTCTGTAGTCTCTCTGCGGATGAAGTCACTTCCAAAGCCAAGTTTATGTCAGGACTGTGAACTGGTGTTCCACAAAAACCTCAAATAACACGACTCCATTGTCATCAAAAAGTTGACAGTAGTCTAAAATGTCCAGCACTGATCTGATATTGTTGGTTATGTCTGTTAGCCACAAACCTGATTGTGTTCATCTATGAGGGAGCTCGGGACCATTTTGAGCCTCTTTGCTAAAATTAGAGCAAACGTCTTGTAATCATTACTAAGCAGACAAATAGGCGCCAATTATCTCGAAGTAAACGATCTTTATTGGGTTTGCGAATGAGAGGGCAGTCCCAACGCGGGCCCAGCTCAGCAGCAAAAACCTGATAAAACTGCAGATAGACCGTCTGTTCCTGGTGATTTGTTATTTTTGAGAAGATTCATCTTCAAAGCTCCCATCGCTTTCTGACAGGTCGTCTAATTTAATTTGAAGATTTGCCAATTCCATTTCTTCTTCCTCTAATAAAGTTTCTGGTCTTTTATTGGAAATAGTGAAAATATTTGCTACAATATTAGCCTCTTAGGCTTTCCTTGAACTTTTTAACAACCATGTTTCAAATTTACAAAGTTATCAGTTCCTTCTAAAATCAGTATCCTTTGTCCAGAACGTGGAGATCAAGTCTTTTATTTCTGTCTGAAACTGATTATTGTTTAATAGTGAGCTATTGAGTTTCCAGTAACCAGAGTTAGTAGCAGGTTCAGAGATGGTGGATATGTTTATTTTAATTGATATAACTTTGTGATCAGTAAATGGTGCAGGGCAGTGATTCTTAACCATGGATGGGCCGCCAGCCACACCGTGAGTTTAGTTTTACACCTGTGGACCGCGTGATATCATAAGTTATTAATCAAAGACACCGGGGACTACTCTCACCCATGAAAATCTCAGTTACAATACAGCTCCCCACTGCTTGGTGAGAGGTGTTTAATCAGCTCAATAAGCAAGCAGAAGAAGACGCTGTCTGCCATTTACAGTTAGATATAGAGAAGTTCTTAAAACAAAAGATGAAGATGAGCTGCCGTATCACAGACAGGGCCTGAGACATACAGCATCGGTTTCTGGGAAGAATAAAAAGAGTCCATTTGTCTCTTTGCAACTAGGCGAGTCCACTGA